TTACTGAAGAAATATATATGCATTGTATGCACGCTAGGGAGATATCCCGGGCGCCTGGGTCCCGACGTCACGCCCGGTTTGGCGACCGGGTGACCGGCCGGGCATGAACCCCGGGCATGGGGCCGGGCAGGCCCAGCGCAGAAAAAGAAAAGAAAAGGGGAAAAAAAAATCTGGAAAAATAAAAATAAAAATATGTTGTGTAGAATTGCAATACAAAGTTTACAAACAACTTTTGGCTGAGGGTCACATCAGAATTCCTCACGGAACTGAAGATAAAAAAGAAAATAACCAAATCACACAAGGCACCCCCCTTTAAACCCATTTAGCCCTTTTAAAATTCATTTATACTCCCCTTACCCCCCCCTGACAACCAACACTCAAAAAAAGAAAAGAGCCCGGATTTGGGCTCCTCTCGGAGAGCGCGGAAAAACCCCACCACCAATTTTTTTTATTTTTTTTCCCACGGCCAGGTATCCTGGGCGTCAGGGCTGGGTGATCGGCTGATCATGAAAATCTTCCTAGTATGCACACAAATTGCACTGTGGAAATTCAATTTACTAGCACGACGAGCCATCGTGACCCACATGCATTTGGTGACAAAGAAATCAGCAGAAAAATGACAAAAGCACTGAAAGCAGTGATCAGACGATCACAAAAGACTTAACTATGTTGCAGTCTCTTGATTGATGGATGATAAAAGGCCCTCTTCTTCTCACCTCCCAACAACCAATACAACAACACGAATTAACAATTCTTAGCTCTCAGTCGGCAGTCTGCTCACTAATTTAGCAGTTCATGTGACCCTCTACTCTGTCCACTGATGCAGAGTACAATGCTGCTTTCCACCGAAGGCTGGATGTAATACTATCGAGACTGGAAGTTGCCCCAAAAAACAAGGCCCATACTGGCACCACTAAAAGGCCCATACTATGCCAATACACAATTCTGTGGAGCGCAATGCTGCCGCCACCGATGCCTGGAAGTTAAATGTATCTAGACTGGAAGTTGCCCAAAATACAGATATAAAATGGGTGGTCACAGAAACTGTCTGGACGTAGAACGTGTAACTCTGGAGCTCTTCTTACCGACCACCAGGCAGAACGCATCACATTATGTCCCTCGCCGACCACCAGGTAGAACGTACCTAGACTGGAAGTTGCCCAAAATACAGATATAAAGCAGGGAGATCACACAAAATGTCGGACGTAGAACATATCACAACATTCTGTCCCTCGCCAACCACCTTCTCCCAATGACCTACCTCCTACCTCCTCCTCTCCTAGGACCTCCCTTTCACGCACCACCTTACTCCCTCCACGAGCCCGGCACAGCCATGGCTGGTGCTGCCTACCTTCCTTCTCGGTCACTGGTCTGCTGCTACCATCTTTATCCGAATAGAACGCCCAGTCATTATAGCTGTATATAGACCGGAAGTTGCCCCATATCCAGCTATAGAGACCGGGCGTTCCATTCGGGTGAAGACAGTACCGATGCCCCTCCCAACCACCCGTGGGCTGAACCAGCCTGCCGTTTTCCCCCGAATAGAACAGATGGCCATTCATAGCTGTATTTGGGGCAAATTTCAGCCTAGATGCAGCGGTTGTTACTCCTGCATTTGGTGCAAATTTTAGTCCAGATGCAGTGGCAGTGATAATGACCGCACGTTCTGTTCAGGGACAAGACGATAGCTGTATCTGACTGACCGACGTCTGTCCTCAGCTGCCCCGGCCTCTCTCTATATGGCAAGGCCGGGATATACACAGGCCGGTAGCCCCCTCCCTTCTCGTTCCTTCCCTAAGCGGCCGCAGCCTAACGCGTTTCCACCAACCTCGCGCGCAGTACCCGCCTTCGGCCTGGCCTGAACTTTACAAAACTGGCCGGGCCCACTTTTCCTTCTTGGGCCTTCTTTGCTTAGGGCCTTTATTTCTGCAACGCGCCTGCGAGGCCCTCACGACCTCACATCGATTCTGACGGGCCCACTTTTCCTTCTTGGGCCTTCTTCGC